AAGAAGGAGGCCGGGCGCTGTGCCTCACGCCTGTAATCCGAGCACTTTGGGAGGCCGAGGTGGGTGGATCACCTGAGGTCAGGAGTTCAAGACCAGCCTGGCCATCATGGCAAAACCCCATCTTTAAAAAAAAAAGGAGACAAGAAGGAATATGTACGAAGTAGAAAGAAATGCAGGAGAGTGAAGTTAGTGAGGCTTAAGTAAGAGAGACTCTGGGTGACCAACTGTGTCACAGGCTGGCGGGTGGGCAAATGTTTGCTCTTCCGTCTGGGTTGGCCTGTTCTTTGCCCTTTCGGCTGGTGATCAGAGGGGGCAGGGAAGAAGTAGGAGAGACGAGGAGCACCAGGACCTGTTCGTTCCGGGGACTGGTATCCTGGGGGCCGCACTGCCTGCTCTGGCTCGGGGAGGTCACTTGGTTTTGCCCCATATTGTTAGGAGTCTCCTGTGATCCCTCCTTCCGGCTGTCTCCTAGCCAGGGGAAACGTACCTGGCATTTTCGTCCATCGATGCTCTTGAGGTCCTCCTCAAACTCCTCTCCCACGTTGAACTGCACAGTGTAATTTCGGAAGGTGCTGAGCGTCCTCACTGTCATGTGGTTGCCCTGGTGGTCGATCTCCTTGTCCGGCTTCAGCAGCACTGCGATCTTCCGCAGAGCCAAGCTGATGTCTGTGGGGGCTGCCTCTTAGCAGGGGTGCTGCCAGCCAGCCTGGAGCTCTCCTGCCTGCAGCAGCCCCTCAGGGCCGTAAGTTTCCCTTCTTTGGATTTGGGACTGTGGATTCACCCCCTCCTAGCAATGCCTGGTTAGAAAGGGATCCCAGGTCGGCGCCAGCTGCCTGAGCCTTCCCACAGTGTCCAACCCTGGGCATTCCCTCTTCTCCAGGGGACTAAGAGGCAGGAAGGGCGAGGGAAGAAAGGGAGTGACAGGGGTCTGGGAGGGCGAGGCCATTACTTAGGGCTTGCAGGTAGTCCTCCGTGTTCTTCTGCGAGACGAAGCAGTAGTAACCAGTGAGGTTGGGAGGCATTGTGCAGATCAAGGTTTCCGGAGAATACAGGAGGCAGGGTGAGGAAGGAGGGGATGTTGTCTGGCAGGTGAGGCTGAGAGACTCGGGCCAGCCCCCCCGACAGAGCCAGGATGTGTAGAGGCCTGGTTACCAGGGCTTTTATAGGAGTGGAGTCCTGTTGCAATAAGAGTCCCTACCGGACTTCGTCCCTCCCCCCCATGATGAGTTTGGGACTGGTGTCTGCAGCCTGAAGGAGGGGCAGGGATTTGGCAAAGTTGTGCCGGACCTTGGCTTTTCCTGAGGAAGGAACCTGGAGCGGGATCTGGGGCTGTCAGTCACCCAAAACCCGAGCCATCCAAAGGTCAGCTTTGGCCTTCACCTCATTTTTGGCAGGCCTGGGAACCGTCCCAGGGCTTGAGGGGCAGTCTCTCCTGGGAGGCACCTGAGGCTGGCCTGGCTGTGTGAGGTGGAGATAAGTTCTAACAATATCCTGAGGTCCTGGGACTGAGTGATGTTGGAAGGTGTGAGGGGAGGCGGTGAGGACAGCCAGCTGGCCAGGAGCCACAGTGACGAGCACCCTGTAGCCCTGGCCCCCATAGCTCCCTCAGGCAGTGTGCTCAACTGCGACCCTAAAGTGGCATTCCAGACTCTTGGTCCTATAGAGCCATTAGGAGGCAGGCAGAGAAACTGCTCTTCCTAAGCAGAGGGGGCTGTCAGCAGCCCGGGGGGTGCTGAGTTCAGGGTGCTGAGTTCAAAGTCAGGAGCAGACAGCCAGAGAGGAGTTGGTTGGCTATACTGGAGAATTTTATTCTCTTTGGCTTGGGACGCAGAGGGTTTTCTCTCCCTCTGAGTCATCGATGAGACCATCACCCCCAGTCCCAGCCCTTAGGACAGCCCACGCTTTCCAGATGTATTTCTGTGGGGGTGGGGTGGGGGCGCCCAAATAATCGTGTGCCCCACCCCCAGCTGCCCACTTCTCTCTCGAACCTGCCATCCATCGTCCCAGGCTTCAGGATCCACTGGGTTTGGTTCATCACGGTTTAAGGTGAAATTCGGGGCGAGGGAGGCAGGGCAGGTAGGCAGGAAGAGGCGGCCCGTTCCGACAGGTGCGCGCGCGAGGCGTGCAGGATGTCCGACCCCTCCTCGGGTCCCCCAGCCCCGCTGCCGCCCTGCCGACCGCCCTGCGGCTTCCTCGCAGACCTGGGCTACAAACGCCAGGGTTTCTCAGGCTCAGACTGCGGGTTTTACTTCACCGTTCCCACAGGGCACGCAGCAGGGACCTGTGCATGGAAGAGGCTGTGAAAAGAGGTTAATGCAGACTTGGGGGGCGGGGTGACGCGGTGCCACCCCTCCGGGCCGCCCTCGGGTCCCGCTGACGTCTCTCTTCCCCACCCCCTGGCTTCTGGCTTCCTTCTCCCCACGCCCCTCTTCTTTCCCACCCGCGCCGTGGCTCTCCAGCTTCCTCCCCAGCCCCCGCAGATCCTCGGCTCCCCCAAACTGCAGCCAGGGGAAGGAGCCCTGCGCTCTCCAGCCCCGACGCCCCAGTCTCGTTGGCTCCCTCCCCCGCTGCAGCACCTGGTCCCCCCCAGCCACCTGATTGGCCGGCGGCCCCGTCAGTCCTGGCCCGGCTGTGCTGACGTCATCCTGCAGTAGCGGGGTTCGGGTGGGAGTGAGAGAGTGAGGACGCTGGGCTGGGGGGAACGCGAAGCCGCGGCGAGTCCCCCGCCTCAGCCACCCGGATTGGGGTCTGCCTAGGTCCGCTCTATGGACTAGCGTGGGCCGCAGGCTCCTCTCTGTCCCTGCCCTGCTGTCCCCCGCTCCTCGAGGAGCCCCTGCATCCCTCCCGCAAGGTGGACCCCGCAGGCTGGAGGCTCCCACGGGAGGCAGCCGCCTGGCCCTGCCCTGCCCCACGCCGCGCCATGACCCTCCTGCTGCTGCCCCTCCTGCTGGCCTCTCTGCTCGCGTCCTGCTCCTGTAACAAAGGTGAGTGGGGTGGGGGTGGGGGCCCTGAAAGGGGTGTCGGGCAGCGCCATGCAGGGTGGCTGTGGGAAGGAGGTGTCGGGGCTCCCTGGCACCTGACAGGTGTCCGCTGCTCCCCATCCGTGTTCTGAGACCTGCTCCGTCTCCTCTCGCGCACTTCCCCCCGCCACATCGTCCTCTCTGGTCCATCTCTACCCATGCGCGCCTCTTGTGGGTCATCATGCGCCCATTTGCTCTCCATTCCCGTCCTGGGGTCTCCATTTCTCCCCTCCCCCAATTTCTGCACACCTCGGGTCTGGGAAGGACTGTCTCCGGGCGGGTGCTGTACGTCTCCCCGTGGCTCTCCCTTTCCCCGGCGCATGCTAAGGGTGTGTGGAGACCCATCTGCTTCGCCTCCATCCCATCCTGGGGAGAAACTATTTGCTGCAGCTCGGCAATTCGGAGCACGTATGTTTTTGCGTGTGCCTCTGCATTCATACCCTCACGCCTGCCTCAGCCGGGCTGCGGGTTACCAGAGCTGCCCTCTCTGGCAGGCGGCGGATACATTCAGCTGGGCGGGGCTGTCGGAGGGGCGCAGAGGGAGGCCGGGAGGGAGGGCTTGGGGGCAGAGGGCTCAGGTGGGTGGAAACGGATGCAGAATGGCAGGAAAGGGCAGAAGTGGGTGTGTGGGGGGCGCTGGATGAGTAGCGAGAGGGAAGGCTGAGAACAAGGCCGGAGATGAGGCGTGGGAGGGGATAGAAAAGGGTAAAGGTGGAGGCAGAAAAAAGAGGGAGGTATGAGAGGAAAAGCAGGAAAAGAGTGAGTCAAGGAGGAGCCCGGGAGCCTAGGAGTGAAAGGGAGCAAAGGCAGAGACCACAGGGCCAGGAGGAGAGGAGACTGAGGCTCAGAGACTCAAGGAGACAAGCAGGGTGGGAGGGGAGCTGTGCAGAAGGCGCCCGGCCCTGCCCTCGCATCGCGCTCCTGCTCTCCCCCATCGCTGACCTCAGCCTCGCCTCTTAGCCTCCTGCCACTTCCTGTGCCGCCTCCTGGGCACCATCTTGTGGCTTTCTCCTCAGCATTCAGGAAGGGGTTATGGTGGTCATCAGTAAGAAAGCCTTCTGGTGCCAAAGGCCTGCTGGGGTGTGGTTGGAAGACAGAATGGAAATCAGGGTTTCTTGCTCGCTGTGAGGTACTGGCGATGAGGTTCCCTTTGGTGACTCAGTTTCCCTCTGTGTCATGGGTGTGCTTTGGGAGCCTGGGTGTTGGCATGGTGGGCTTAGATAGGGCAAGCGTGGAGGCTGGGGTGGGGGGCGATGTGGAAGGGGAGGGAACATGCTTCCCCACAGCCCCTCACCAGGCCGAATCTGGTAGAAGATGGGGCGATCTGGAGTCTGATGAGTCCCACATCCATTCTGAATTGGCTGGTGTTGAAGGGAAGAGGGGTGGGGTAGATAAGAACTGGGATTACGTTCTGTATAAAAAGTGGGTTTCAGGGAATGTAGTTTGACGGTCTTGTGGAGGACATGGAAATGCGCTGGTTTTGAATGTGTTCTCTTGGGTGTGGGGGTGGGAAGCAGGGAGGGATTTGTCATATTTCTAGGCCAGCCCGATAATCCCTTAGGATGACGGCTCTGCTGGGTCCAGTCGCTCGGCATTGATTCCTCTGCTCCATTCCTGCCCCTCTCTGCCCCCTCCCTCTGTCCTATATATCTTTTCCTCTCCTTTCTCCCCATCCTGCACTCTGGGAGAATGGCCCCAAGTTGGGGTGTGGCGGGGAGAAGTGCAGAGTGAAGGAATCAGGATTGAAATGAGTTGGGGAGGAGGATAAGCAATCAGGATCTCAGGAAACTTCTAGATCTTTTTCTAGTCTCAATGCTGCCCTTAATCTATCCCTTCCCTTTCCCAGGGCCTTCTCACGGCCCACCACTGCTCCCTGAAGTTCCCATCTCCATTCATGAAATCCCTAAAGAATATTCTCCACTTTCTGACCGTGGTTCCCAGGGAGATGGTGGTTCCCTCCTCCTCACCCCCAGGGCAGGTTGTTTCCATGGAAACTGTCTACCCTGCTATAGGAGAAGGCTGTGACCTCCTGCAGACCCTCTGACTCCTTTAGTAGCTGATTTCTTGTCCTCAGCGACCCACCTCCTGTAAGGCGCCCCTATAGGGGGTAGAAAGGGTGATTGGTGCCGGGATGTGAGTTGTCTGGGTCAATAAAGGGTTACTGGGGGAGTAGAGGCCCTGCTCACAGGTGCTTCATCTCCTCTCCCTGGGGCGGGGCCAGCCAACAAGCACAAGCCATGGATCGAGGCAGAGTACCAGGGCATCGTCATGGAGAACGACAACACGGTCCTGCTGAACCCACCACTCTTTGCCTTGGACAAGGATGCCCCACTGCGCTATGCAGGTAATTGAGGTTGGGGGTTGGCAAGGCAGTGTAGGACAGAGAAAAGTGGGGGAGAGGGCCAAGAGCAAGGGTGGGAGGGAAGGGCCTGGGAGCAATGAGAAAGTATGGGAAGAGGCCTCGGAAAAATAGAGGCAGACTCAAGGAAGGGAATGGGCCCCACTGAAGAATGGAGATTGAGTCAAGGAAGATAGAAAAGGACATGGGCAGCCAAGGGTTAAACACATCATGATTTTTCCAGATCTCAGGCCTGGAGGCTCTGGGAGGTTGCTGCTCAGGGAAGCTGGGCTTGGAGTTGTGTGTTTGATAATTGATGCTTTTATGCCTACGGGAGAAGGGACAGCGCTTCCTTTGGGAGGAGAGGTGGAGCTGGACCCCAGTTGGGGAGGCTGAGGGTGGGGAAGGAGACACAGCAGCCTCACTCCTCCCCTTCTCCCCTTTGCCAGGTGAGATCTGCGGCTTCCGGCTCCATGGGTCTGGGGTGCCCTTTGAGGCTGTGATCCTTGACAAGGCGACAGGAGAGGGGCTGATCCGTGCCAAGGAGCCTGTGGACTGCGAGGCCCAGAAGGAACACACCTTCACCATCCAGGCCTACGACTGCGGCGAGGGCCCCGACGGGGCCAACACCAAGAAGTCCCACAAGTGAGGAAGTGCTTGTCTCCTGCCCCATGTGCTGCAGGGTCCTCCTCCCTGCTCCCAAGCCCACCATCCTCTGTCTGTGCAGTCGTTGAACATCCACCCCGACCCGCTGCTGTTCCTAGGACTTAGGGAAACCCATCCCCTGCTGGTCCTAGGATTTAGGGACCTTCAGGCAAGGTGACAGAAACATATAGTAGAGTTCAGTGGGTCTAATCTTGGCTTTGCCTCCCATGACCTTGGGAGGCAAGGTCTAGCCTTTCTGGACTTGCTTTTCCTTATCTGTAAAATGGAGATAGTGATGCCGCCTACTTCATAAGGTTGCTGTGAAGATTCAAGGAGATGGCTGTGTTGAAAGCAGGCACACAGTGAAGGGCTCAGTACACGGGCGTTATCATCAGGAGGAGGGCAAGAAGGGAGACGATGAACACACTCAGCACACGTCCAGATTCCTTTCAACTGCCCCCTCCAGTCTAATTGCAGTGTGCACCACACACACGATCCCTAACATACACATATAGCTCTAGGTGAGGGTGGGCAGGGGTTGGCCGTAGCAAGAGAGAGGCGCGGGTCTGGGACACCTACGCCTGCTGCCAGCTAACTTGTTATTTGAGAGGAAGAAAGATCTTCAGTCAGGATTCCTGGGCCACTAAGAGGCCCTAGAGATAAAATGCTCTTTGTGACTCAGTTTCCCATTTGAAGATAGGACCCTTGTCTCTGGGGCCTGGGAGCCTGGGTCTTGGCTTGGGGCAGGGCTCAGCATGAAGGGCCTTGACCCAGCTCTGCTTGCCCTGGTGGATGACTAGGGAGGGGCCACACCTGACATGAAGGGGAGGCAGCGCTGCCCGCACGTGCTGTTCAGACGTGTCAGATGACTTGTGACCTTTGCACAGATGCCGTTTTCCTTCCTATAGCTGGTTTTAATTTGCCTTTTACTCTGCATCTTCCTTGGTTATCCCCCTGGATCTGACTGTTGTGAAGAAAGACCCTGCTGGATTTTAGGCCCTACCTCTCCTCATTGATGAACCCGAAGTCATCAAAATCAGCTCCTGAGGACACCTGGGGCTTGTTCCTCATCCCCTACTTCAGTCGGGGCCCTCTCCCTGATGTTGTCCTCTCCCTGGCATGACTTTGATGCAGCCTGATGCCCTGTGTGGTGGGGAGGAGCTTGCTGACTGCCCCAGTCTCAGGGATAGATGGGCAGGCTTCCTCCTGCTCTGGCTCCCAGTTGGGAGTCTTGCTTGCTCCTCTCTGGCATATGGGTGTACCATATCGAGGCAGCACCTCAGTGTACAGTATCGAGGCCGTACCTCGGTGTGCCGTGTCGGGGCCGTACCTCGGTGTCCCGTGTCGGGGCCGTACCTCGGTGTCCCGTGTGGTGTCCCGTGCCGGGGCCGTACCTCGGTGTCCCGTGTCGGGGCCGTACCTCGGTGGCCGTACCTCGGTATCCCGTGTGGTGTCCCGTGTCGGGGCCGTACCTCGGTGT